ACTCCACAACATCCTTTTAACACAGCAAGACATTTTAGGATGTGAGCAAGAGCGAGTCCTGCCCTTGCCCCAGACAATAGGCTCTGCAATAATGGTGCAACCAGAACTTCCTGTGCGGCGGCGCAGGCCAGCTCCCGGGAAAAACACCACGGGAAGGCACTGCCACGGAACACAGCACCAGCACAGCTCCTCCAGCATCCTGGGGACCCTGCCTGGGCAGCAAGCAAAGCACCACAACCCAGCCCAGGCTGGGAAGCAGGGAGAACCACACCAGCAGCTCGGAACAGCCTGGGAACGGCTGTGGATAATTCATCATCACACCGGCCTTTTGCAACATCTGGATGTGGCTTTCTCCCACGGATGTTTCCAGTCCTGCAGGCCTTGTGAAAGTGGCTGTGATCTAGGAGGCTCAAATCTCAGCCCAGATGGGGTGAACCTGATCATCCTGGTCTCTCCTGGTGCAGGAGCTGGGACAGGTCCAGCAAGGACAGAGCAACCCGTGGCATCAGACACCAGAGGTACCCACTGAATCCAAAGTGCTCCAGCGTTGACCTGTTGGAGCTTCTACCAAGAATGAGGGATCAACACAGCCTGCTACCCCAAACACAGAGAAAAGGCAATGGCAAACCCCTACAGCAATGAGGAATTGGCTATTCCACAGCTCTGCTGGACTGGAGGATTTGGGGACAGATGGGGAGAATTATTAGTGAAATGGGAAAGGACTGAACCAGCACTCAACACAGACACAAGCTCAGGAGTGTTTTGTCTTGCCAGCCAACAGCAGGACACAAGAGCTCCAGGTTGGAAGCTGCCAACATCACACACCTGCGCTCTGTGCCACCCCTTCCCTGGGCCAGGGATCCCTGAACCCTTGGAGCTGCAGAGGATGCAATGCTCAGTGCACTCAGGGCCACCCTCACACACTCAGCATCTTGCTAACATCACATCATTCCCATCTCTCCAGCTCTGCTCAGGACACTTGTCAAATCCTGGTATATTCATTTACCTGTAATCTTTTTCAAAGAGGGACAGAAAGTGTTTCTGTGAAGCAGATATCCACCTGCAGCCATGGATGATCCCATGATGGAGCAAGGGGAGGAGTGTGAGGAGTTCTCCCACTGAGGAGAGAGGAGGGGCAGAGACAAAGTGTGATGAGCTGATCATAGCCACTGTTCTCCATCACCCTGAGCCACTGAGGGGGAGAACGTGGAGAAAACTGGGAGTGAAGTTGAGCCCAGGAAGAAGGGAGAGGTGAGGGGAAGGTTTCTCTCATTTCTGCACACCTTCCCCATCAGCCCAGGCAGACTATTGCCATGGATGTGCACAAAGCTCAGCATTTATTTCAAAAGGAAAAAGCTCACAGAACAGGTGACTGCACCGCAACCAGGCTTAGCAGTGATCATGAAGGGTTGGGGATTCTCCAGGACCTCAGTGAGACCTCCTGGAACAAACACCACTGGCCAAATGAAGTCCCCTGCTGCTGGATTTAGCACATATAAGCACAAACTGCTGTGCAGCACATCAGTGCAGGCTGTGCAGAGACACAGCGCTCCAGAGATGCCCCAATACACGACAAAAAGGCCAGTTTCCCAGGAAAAACTGTAAGCCAGCAGCTGGCATGTCAAGGAGGAAACAGTAAAGCAGGAACGAGGTTTTCACACCATTCCTGCCATGCTCTCCCCACGATGAAGAGGGCATGAGGTGTCCCACCCGCACAGCAGCTCCCACGGCCGAAGCTGTGCCGAGCACCCCAACGTGCAGGACTGTCCCCACCAGCCTCTTCAAACAGTCCCCTGCAGCAGGTCAGTGTTTAGGGACAAAGAAAGCAAAGCCTCATTCCCAGGATTAAGGAAGGCCTCCTGAGGATGGGGTAGGAGAGCTGAGGACAGATATGGCAAGGCTGGAAAGGGTGCACTGACGGGGACACCGAGTCCAAACACACACCCCACATGAGAAAAGCAACCCCCAGAGCCCCAGCACAGCTCCCTGGTGTTGCACAGCGGAGGACTGGGCTTTACTGGCCACGTCAGCCAGGTTGGGGTCAGGACAAGCAACAGGCAGCTTGGCAACACGTTCCAACAGAGGGAGATGCAGACCTATGGGCTCCAGACCCTCTTTCCAGAGAGGAAGAGTGGAGAAACCACGTGCAAGAACACCAGAACTCTCAGAGCTCAACCAACAGCAAAAAAAATTCACTGGGAGATAGCAGGAAAACGCATTTTTCAGTGGCTTCCTTGAGGGGAAAAAAAAAAACAACCCTCCAAGGCTACTCCACAGTTTCTTACTTTAACAACTTATTTTAACTGCTCGGTGCCCCGCAGGCTGCAGGGACAGGGAACTGGGCTCCCTTTACTCAGCCCTCCACACACAACACCCCAAAATTCATTTGTTAGTGTGCAGGTGCACAATAATTTGGTTATATGAGGGAACTCTTCCCCACAAGTCCGTGGTTCCCAGACGTGCATCACTGCCTAATTATCCAGCAGAGCTCTCCCTGCCCAACTCCCCGCTACAAAATCCTTTATGACATTTCCAAAATGCCCCCTTCAGGCAAATTCTAACGCAGATTTTCGGGTCGTACTGTGCAGATGAAGAAAAGTCCAATAAATCTGTCATTTAACGGAAAATTAATACCATGTCCTAATGTCAGCATCGACACAGAAACAACCTCCTTTCCACAGTTATTGCGCGCTGGATGCAAGAAAGCCAAATACAACAAACCTACAATAAAGAACACCCCACAAAAATCAAAGTTGGTGATGCTTATGCCCTGCAACACGGCTGGCAGGAGGCCACTCGTGGTCACATCCCTGGCTCGTGGTGCCAGCAGGAACCCGGCCCATTGGAGGAGCCCAGGCTGGGAGCAACACCTGCCCATCTTGAGGCAGAATAATTTTATTAGATCAGCTAATATTAGTGCAAAAATTGGGGAAGTGCCTGGGATCATGTGACACAAACAAAGCTGAGTGAACACAGACAGAAATAACTGCTGCAGGTGTTGCTGGGTTGCAGGTATTACCTGGGGGGGTCCCAACCTCATGCCCTTGGGATTCCCAATCCTATTTCTGAGAGGTTTTAACCAGGTAAATTGAAAAGGAAACCCATTCTCATGCTTCACCTGGAAGTTTCACAGGAGCCTGCAGGCTAGAAAGAATAAAAATCCTTGCAGCAGGATGGCTGCAGGGAATCAGTGCTCAGGAAAACACGCAGTAACAGCAGGCAGGAGACACCGGTGCTCGGGAAGCCAGGGTGGAAAGAAATAACTTTTGCAACAAGAATGGCATGAACCAAAAGCAGACAACAAAATGAACCTGTTGCACCAGGGACTTGTAGTACACAGGATCAGGAACTGCAGTTTCCAGACTCATCTTCCCAATGCAGAGCTTTTCGCAGCACTTCCAGCTTCACTCATCTGGAGGCTGCCCCAGGGAGATGGATGCCCTTTCCCTCTCCTTGCTTGCACACAAGTGTGAGGCACCTGCCTGTTCCATCTCCCATGAGCAGCCTGGACCACCAGGCTCATGTCCCACCTGGCCTGATGGCCACCACCCAAGAGCCCACCAGTAGCCAGCCGAGCTCTGGGACACGTCCCTTGGGGCAGGAGAACAGCAACGAGTCCGTCAACCTCTCTGACGACAGAGCCCACCCCGAGGCCACGCAGTTGTCCCATCCCCACCACAGTGGGGACAGAGGTTTTGCTCCGAGTGGCTCTCAGTCCATACCCCCCCCGGGTACCACGGGCAGCCAACACGCCCCTCTGCAGACACGACCACCCCTCAGCTCTCCTTACAGCAACACACAGAAACCGTACTCGTTAATTCCAGGAAAACCAGCTGGCACAGCAGAAACGCGGCACTCCCAGTGCCTGTCTGGTCACTTGCTCAATCAGGGACTGAACGCCATCGGCATGAGCCATCCTGCCAGCGCCGGGCACCCTTGGCACGCCAGCAGGACCCCCAAACCCTCTGCACAGGGCTCCAGCAAAGCATCCACCTGCCGCGGGACTGTCAACTGACTGTAACACACCGAAATTGGGCACCTGTACTTTCCCCAAGCCAATGAGTGACGATGCCGTGGAGGGAGTGAGCAGCATTCCATAAATGTTTGATTCAAGCGGTTACAGAACAGTTTGGATGCACCGATGGTTTAATAACCCGCTCCCACACGGCCCCGGTGAGGTGTGATCCACGCCTGCCACCGCAGCCTGGTGCCCCCGAGCACGGCGCTGGTGCCCCCGAGCACGGCGCTGGTGCCGGCTCTGCCGCGATCCCTCCTCACTTGCGAGAAGCAGTCGTGCCTTGTCTTATAACAAAACACGAGGGAGGAGCAGGGAGGTGATATCAGCCATTAATCCCCGTATTTTGAAACATCTCATCTCATACATGTTCAGGTGTAAGACAAAACCACAGAGGTGGAACGGGAACCCTCCAGCGAGGCTCTGTAAACACCTGAGTAAGGCTTTCTCACCGGGGTTGCCCCGTCGATTCCCCGAGACCACTAAAACCAGCAAGGAGCAAACCCTCCCAACCAAAAAAACTCCCACCACAGCCCACAGAAATGTTCTCCTGCACTCAAACACGCCTCCAAATCAGCCCGAGTGAGCAGTGACCCAGTTCTCCGGGAGTTCACACGGGGGTAAACCGGGCTCAAACCGCTGGATTCTCACACACACGGGGGAAATAAACCCGGACCGGGCCCGCCGCAGGCACTGCCCGGCTCAGCTCCGCGCTGCTGCTTCCTCAGCAGCTCAAACGGAGCCAAAACAACCCCAACAAAGAAAAAAGATTCCCACGTGATGTTATATAAAAGGGGGTTTGCGAAACTAATCTGAACTCCGCGGCTCTGCGATCCTTGCGGGACGCAGGAGGGTCTGTCCCGCAGGTACCTGCGAGGCGGCGACGGGCGTTTCTGGGATCAGAACACAACGAGGAGTGATGCGACCCTTCACCCTGCGGGTCCCGGAGCGGGGATCCCCATCCCAGTCCTAGTCCCGCTCTTACCTCACCGCATGGCCTCGGCGCCGCTCGCTCACGCCGTCCCGGCAAATCAGGGCAACTCTTGCGCTGGCGTCGGGAAGTTGAAATGTTAAAA